TCAGCTGCCACCCCCCTCCCCGCAAACCCCTAACTGCTCATCTGAACCCCTAACTGCCTATCTGAACCCCTATCCCCCCCTGCTTAACTGAATGCTTAACTGCCTCCCCAAACCCCTAACCGCCCCCCTGGAACCCTTAGCTACCTCCCCAAGCCCCTAACTTCCACCCCTGAACCCCTAACTGTCCCACAGTGGGGCAATACCATGAGACCCCAACACAGCCGAGGAGCAAAGGCTCCCAGATTTGCTCAGTTTCACCCAAATCCTGTACCCGAATGTCACTGGCAAAAAGCCCTTGAGCTGCTGCTGCTGCTGGGCCATGATAGCAATTCAGGGTACTAGTCAGGGCTCCTGAGCCAGCGTGTTTAGGGAAAGTTTGGGGTGTTTTGGCCAAGAACAGTTCAGGAGGGTTCCGTGGCACAGCCCCTGCGAGGAGGTGCTGTGACAGCCAGACGCCTGTGGGGCTGCCACGTTGGTGAGCCACACATCGGTGCTGTGCCAGGGCAGGTAGAACATGTTCTCCTGGTTGTTCTCCTCCAGGTCAGGGTCCAGGAGCCATGGAGGACCTGCTGGATGTGGAGAACAAGCGGATGGCAGACAGCCTGGCCAGCAAGGTCACCAGGCTGAAGTCGGTGAGTGGTCGAGGGCACAGCGTAGGGAAGGACCTGGGGGGTTACTGGGGGTCCTGCAAGGTCTTGTGGGGGATCATGGAATCATGGAATGGTTTGGGTTGGGAGGAACCTTAAGGCTCATTCAGTCCAACCCCCTGCAGGAGGGCAGGGCAGGGCATGGGGACCTTCCACTAGCCCAGGTTGCTCCAACCTGGCCTGGAACACTTCCAGGGATGAGGCAGCCACAGTTTCTCTGGGAAACCTCTGCCAGTGCCTCACCACCCTCTCACCTGTGATCTACAGAGACTTCCTGTGCTTTAACAGCTCTTAGTTGGTGATGCACTGGTTTAATTTCCATTGTTCATTTCATTGTCCCTTTCAATATCCATTTCACTGTCCATTGCCAGGGACACCTTTAGGAATTCCCACTTTTCCATTTGAGGTTTAGGACATCACCTAATAGGAATGGTGTGGGTTTCACAGTGTTCAGGGAGGAGTTTTAGGCACAGGAAGGCACATAGAAGCTGAGCAGTGGGGCATTGCTAAGCTCACCTCCTTGAGGACAGAGTCACAGTTAAAAGATTAGTTTTGGACATGCCTGTGTTTCTCTGCAAGTGTTCTTAAAGCTGGTTTGCTCCTACTAACATCAGATACTCGGATTTAAAGCACTGAGTTCTCAATTATTATAAAAACTTCAATCTAAACCATTAAAGAAGTTGTGTAGAATGGCAGACTCTGAAGTCCTGTTGCGTCACAGGGTTTAAACTTCCCTGTCCTGTAGCTGACAGTCTCAGGCAGGTTCTCTGTACTTTCAAAGCTCATCACTGCCCATTTGTTCCCTTGGCCTGCAGCTGGCTCTGGATATCGACAAGGATGCTGAGGAGCAGAATCACTACCTGGACAGCATGGTAAGGGCCTGGGAACAGGACCTGAGGTTTCCTGTGCTGCTCCCAACAGCTGCCTGGGCTGGGAGAGCAGAGTGGCAGCTCCAGGGAGCGTCCAGAGGTAGATCCCTGTGGTCTCTGATGCCAGGAATGGAACTAAACCTATTCCCAGTGGAGTTACTGACACGTAAAGGTCACATACTTGGGGAGCTGGTGCTGGGGAGCTGATGCTGGATGCTGGGAAGCTGGTACTGGGTGCTGGGGAGACAGTGCTGGGTGCTGGGGAGATGGTACTGGGTGCTGGATGCTGGAGAGCTGGTGCTGGAGAGCTGGTGCTGGGTACTGGAGAGGACACTGAGGAAGATGGGCAGCTGTTGTGCAGATCCTGTGCAAGTGTTTTTATCCAGGAAGTGAGAGATTGCTCAGGGATGCCTGCATCTGTGGTGCAGTAGGATAGGCTTGATCCCAGGACCCGAGGAAACGGCTGGAGCTGTGCCAGAGGAGGTTTAAGCGGGATATCAGGAAAAGTTATTCTCCCAGAGGGTGGTTGGGCACTGGAACAGCTCTCCAGGGCAGTGATCATGGCACCAGAGCTCAAAGAGTGTTTGGACGGTGCTCTCAGACACATGGTGGGATTGTTGGGGTGTCCTGTGCAGGGCAGGAGTTGTGGGTCCCTCCAGCTCAGGATATTCCATGGTTCTACAATTGTAGAACCACCAAGATTGGAAGAGACCTTTAAGACCATCAAGTCAACTGTTAACCTGCCACTGCTGTAACCCCTAAACCATGTCTCCAGTGCCAGACCCAGACACCTCTCAAACACCTCCAGGGGTGGTGACTCCACCACCACGACCCTGGGCAATATTCCAGAGTGTCCAACTTCATTCCTTGCCCTGCAGGACTCTGACTTCCTGAGTGTGACGGGGCTGCTGACGGGCAGCACGAAGCGTTTCTCCTCCCTGGCGCGCTCCGGCCGGGACAATCGTCGCCTGCTCTGCGCTGTGTCCGTGGCCCTTGTCCTTCTCTTTTTCATCCTCTACTACCTGGTGGCCAGGGCAGGGACCTGAATCCTGGGCACGAGTCACAGGTGCCACACGGACCACACGCCTAGCAGCAACGCCTTTCTGGGGGGAGGCTGCAGCCAGGCCTCCACCTTCCAAGTGACTCTTCCTCCCACTGGCTCCTCATCATCATTCCAGCTGGGCCCAGGCAGCTCTTCCAAAACAAGCTCCAAAGGGATCTTCGTGTCTAACATGGATTTGAGGTCGTGATCTCCTGCCTGGTCCACATGGGCTGTTTCTGAGGGCCACTTCCATGTCACATCCCTTGGAGACTGGGAACTGCTGAGCTGTGCCTGCTGCCTCCAGGGATTTGTGGATACTCAGTGGGTTAACAGCCCAGCCAACCTCTGGGAGCTGTGGGATTTAGGGTGTTGATCTGTGGGATTTGGGAGTACCAATGTATAATTCACATTTGGCTCTGCAGACCATATCCTGGGCTGACAGGATTCTGTGCTGCTTTGGGATGGAATTATCAGTGGATCGGGGCCTGGATACTCTCAGGCTGTGGCAGGGAGGAGCTGCAGAGGGGCAGGACTTTCACTAAATGTTGGCTTGGTCATCTTGATTATCCTTGAGTTGGGCCCTGTGGGGAGGGAGAGCCACACCCACAGCCACATGGATTTGCACACGTGTGGAAAGAGATGGGAATTTCTCTGCAACTAACCTCCTGTGTGTCCCTGTCCCCTCAAGCCCTGGGAAGAGCTGCCAGGTCTCCCCTGGCTGCTTCTGTGCCAGCTGCTCCCCTGGCCTGGCTTCCTTTTGGAAAGTGCTTGATTCCTTCCCTCTCCCTGTTACAACCAGATCTCAGCCATTCCTGTTCCTCTGATCCAGCCTCTCCTCTCCAGCAAACTTTTCTTCATGGATGGCTGGGTGTTCCCTTTGCCTTCCCTCCATTCCCACGGGGAATTTCTTTGTTCTTGGGTATACAGCTATGAAGGGAATGTTGTCCCTGCACCACACTGCCCACAGAACACCCCATCAACTGCATTAGGTGTCCTTTTCCCACATTTGGGAATAACATGCAGGGAAGGCAAGGGGCAAGTAGGCAATAAGGACTCCCCCTGGTCCTTCCTGCTCCTCTGGTGCCACGTGGCAGCTCTGGACTCTTCCTGCTGTAAATAAAGCTGATTTTGGAATGTTTTCCCCAAACATTGGTTCCCTTGTGCCGGTCTCAATGCCAAGGCCAAACACCTGGTGGTACCCACCCAGAGCCATCCCGGGGCTGGACAGGGACCCTTGAGTGGCCTGGGAGGGTCCCACAGCCCTGGAACACACCAAGTGTCTTGGGGAAATGAGGACAGGGACACTGAGGGACTTACAGGGACACTGGGGGCTCCTGGGGGCACTGGGGAGACTTGAGGACAGATGGACAGCAGTGAGGAGGGACAGTGGGGAGCACAGGGCAGAGGTGGGGGTGCCACCAGCCACTCATCCCTGGGGTCCAGTGTCTTCTTCCATGTCTTGATTCAAAGGAATCAACCCAACACATGATCCTGTTAAGCATTCCTTTAATGTGGGGTGCATGGGGATCCTTCTCCTAACACCACCCCCTGGTGCCAGAGGGACAGTCTTTGTTGCCACAAATCATGCATATTCATTAGATTTTCAGGAACTCATGCATATATGTTAATGGGTTCCTAGCAATCATTATACTATCCTTGCCCTCCTCTGACCTATGCAGTTCATTTTGGTGGTGCTGGTTGAAGATCCTCTGCAGCCCCCACTGGTCGTTCCATAGTCTTCATCAGTTGTGTGCTGGATGACATGTGGCACCTTTCCACACCTTAGGGCAGGTTCTAACTGGTGTTGACGCCAAAATTCCTCAGTGGAGTATCTTACCAGTCCCTTCCAGCCGTGCACTTAGCTCCTTCACGTTGCAGAGACACTGAGAGTTGCAATGTATCTTCACTTGTGCAGACATTAGAAGTTCCTAAGAGCTTAGCTTTTACAACAGTAGCAGACAGACCTCAGCAGGATTTAGCTATAACTTGGTTAAAGGTATCACTGATATCAGCTACAACTTACAAGTTACTGCTCCTCAGTCAAAGTTATTTCGTGAATCATAGGTTTACCTAACCTTTGGTCTCCATCCCCATAGGGCTCCTTGTCCCCACGCCAGGGTGGGGGTGCCACTGGCTGCTTACCCTGCAGGGACTGCTGTCCCATGTCTCTGTCCCCATGGAGGCCTCTTTTGGAGAAGAGAAGGTTGTGTGGAGACCTCATAGCAGCCTTCCTGGATCTGAAGGGCTCCAGGGAAGCTGCAGAGGGACTCTTGGTTAGGAGCTGCAGTGACAGGGCAAGGAATAATGGGGATAAATTGATAGATGGAAATTTAGATTAAGTGTTAGGAAGTTTTTTCCTGCGAGGGTGGTGAGACACTGGCACAGGTTGCCCAGGGAGGCTGTGGCTGCCCCAGCCCTGGCAGTGTTCACAGCCAGGTTGGATAAAGCCTTGAGCTGCCTGCTCTGGTGGGAGGTGTCCCTGCCCAGGGCAGGAGGTTGGGGCTGGATCATCTCTAAGCTCCATCCCAACCCCTCAGCACACTATGATGCTGTGCAGGTCCTTGTGCTCACGGGGCTCCCTACCGCGGGTCGCAGCAGCCCCGTGCCGCTCCCGGCCGCAGCAGGCCCCGC